CATCCAGTAAACCACATTTTAAGGAATGTCTTGATGCTGCATTCAGAATGTTTAGACGATACACTTTAAATCAATTAATTGTCACAAAGATGCCAAAAACACTTATTTTTTCAGCTAAACAAGAATTGTGAAGTTGTCAGAATTTCGGCTAAAATTAGAGGACCCCCAGAGGGTAGCCTTCGTTAATTTGAGAGGAGAATGATTATTATGAGATCTCATGGGCTGATTGCCTCTGCAAAACAAAGCCACCACATATTTACATGCAACAGATCGTGTGCAGCTATTGCGAGATGAGATGTGACCTCCTGACTCCCTGGAGTTTGTTGAAGATACTAAGACTTTGTGGGGATCATCTGAAATATGGTCACCGGTGATGGTATCTTTCCAAAGCACTCTCATCTAACCCCATTCATTCCCGCTTTCTCCTTCCATCAACAGCTCCTGTCATGCTCCCCTTCCTGGCGCGCTCTCCTCCTCTCCCTCCCTCCCTCACTTGTTTCTCCCCCAGTGTGACATGTGTTTTTGCCTGGTGAAACAAGGCACTTAGTAAATTTGTGAATACTGTTTTAGGCCAAATCCAACATAACGGTGGTGAGCATTGCATGGGCAAGCAAGCACAACTCACATTTTCAGAAAAACAAAAATCATGTTTTCTTAGCAGAAACTTCCTAAAGAATGTAGGCTATATAAAGTGCATATCATGAAAGCTGGGAAGGTAGTTCAATTACACAAAACAAGGTAAGCCTCAAAACCAGAGGAGAATGCCACGGAAACAATGCAAGAGAGTCAAAATAATTGCAAATGCATGAAAAGATCCATCACTGGTGGTAGTGTATTCAGTGTGGGCTGACTCAAGAGCATTGTACAAGATCTATGACAAAATAAAAGATCCATGACAAAAATAGAACCAAACAGGATAAAGATACAATGGATTATTTTATAATGGAGCGAATAGGCAATCGTATATTGCCCACAAATGCAATGCCCACTAATGTCCCACTGTTCCATTATCACGCTAAGCACTCATGCTCCATCTAACATAGTATTTTTTAATAGCAAATGCAACATTTATGGTTTGTACACAGCAACTGACACAATGCCTTTTATTGATATAGCCTAAATCCAAATAGTAGGCTATGATCACTTTGCTCTTTGGTTAACTATTTTTCTAGTGACACTGACACCTGAAATTAAGGGCTGGCTCACACCTAACGCAGTTACTCGTTTTATTGCTGCCGCTTTTAATTTTTGTTTTACTTAAAATGTGCTTAGAGGAACGTACTCTGATCGCTGCGTATCGCTGATTTTTCAGTGTCGCGTACTAGCGCCACGTTTTTAAGAAGTTAAAAGTTTTAAGAATCGTTTCCAATTCTAATCAATTCACTAATCAAACACACCTGAACCAGCTAATCAAGCTCTTACTAGGTATACTTCAAACATTCAGGCAGGTCTGTTGAGATAAGTTGGAGCTAAACTCTGCAGGACACCGCCCCTCCAGGACTGAGTTTGGTGACCCCTGGCCTAGAGCATACAAAACAATGACATGATGGCAACGCACGCTTATAAACAGAGCATTATCGTCCGTTGGTATGGACGCTTATAAAGTTATCCTTACAGTTAAAAGTTTTGCTTATAGCTAATAGTTAATTTGGGTGTGAACAGGAATTTAAACTTAAACGCGTCTGGATAGCCTACTGCTTTTTTCTGTTCAGCTGCGCGTCTGGCGGAAACAACGCGTTCTGTGTGAAAAGCAATTATTAAGAACATTTCTTTAGGTGAACACTATGGAGATAATAATGCTCAGCACCATATTGCTGCAGAGTAATGTGGTAAACAAACTATAATGTTATTTTAACTGCTCCATGTGCTCTGGGGACTTTTGCAATTGTTAGATATTATATTAGGAATATTAAATTAAATATATCCTACACATTTATCTGACAGAGAGATTATATCACCTCTCTCATACAATACAGTAAACATCTTTAATATTTTAGTAGAAACACACACACACAGGCTGCAGACGCTCTGCAGGAGATGAAGTTTAACTTCACTGACGCTTCACTAAAAATAATTCCATCACAATGTGTTATGCAGCCGCAGTGTTTACTGGAGAAGAACAAAAGTAAACGGCATATTTAATTAAAGGATTCATATATGCACAAAAGAGCTGCCACCTATAACCACCTTCACTCTGCTCCTCTGAGATGTGAGCAAATTCTGGTACATTTGAAACTTCTGACTATTTTGACAAAACATTTGCCTGTTCTTTGATGAACATCCTCCTCATATGTAACTCTACCGAAAGTCCTGATGCTTTCTTCAAGCCTCCATCACCCCCACTCCTCCAACCGAGTTTATCGTCTACTCCCCTCAACGCTGGTGTTTAGCTCTGACAGGCTTTCAGCTAGTAAATCAGTGAATTGATCTTGAGGGGCAGCAGAGTGTCCTGGGTTCTGCTACAGATCCATTTTCATTCCACAAGCAGCTCCCTATGCCAGCGTCTCCTCCAGCATCCATAAACATCAGCAACCAACTCCTGCTGACCCCATCCGACTCTTTCAACACTCTCGCTCACACTCATTTACCTGCTCACCCGCTCCCTCGATGAGATGAGGTAACTGTTCTCGCAATGCATGATCAAAGAGCAAACAACACTTTTTTTTAGCAACTTAGTAGTTTGCTTTCTTCATATTACATAGACTAACAGAGGCCCTGGAGCCTGTGGGGGCTGTAGTGACACAATCACACTGCATTTTACACTAGAACTGTTCTAGAACATTTCATCTGCATTTTTTGCTTTTGGTGGGGCAATTATATTATACTAGCTGATGTATTACAAGTATCGAACACATATAATGCCATTGATAGAGAACATAAGTAAACACATGATTGAACAATAACCTTAAGTCTCACGAGGAGCATAAATAAAAACACCCACCATACAGTTTTTTTTCCTAAAAAAATAAATAGCTAAAAAATAAACTAAATGTGGGTTAATAAATGTATGTAGTCTGAATGTAGCATCAATTTGCAATTTAAAAATGTAAAAAAAACGTGCAGAAAAATATTTTTATATGTAAACACCCGACACAAAGAGTTTCCTGATAACCCAGGAGTTCACTCTCTTAAAAATGCTCTTAATTCTTTTTTTTATTTGGATGGAGCTCGTCCCAAAACAGTATGTGCATCATTTGTGGTAGAGTTTGTCACAGTTTGTAGTCCTAAATATTGGAAGAAAATTAACCTTTATGAGTCATTTTCTAATCCTTATCTAGCAGCTTACTGCAAGAGTTATATGACTGTGTATAATTTATATTGTAGAACAAAATTTAAAAATCTCTTCAAGTAATGCTAACTACAGACCTTACTGTACTCATAAATCAAAACCCGGGATTCTTAAAAACCCTTAAGAAATTCCAGAGGGAACTCATGGTGAAGTAGCCTTCCAGTTTGACCTATAAATTGCGTCATAGCTCATTTAAGTAGAAATTCGCTATTTGACTTAGCAGGGAACTGTCAAGACCAAAGTTGCGGAACTAAATATAAAACTTTTGCAATATCTCAAAGCCTAAAATAGAAGCCAAACAAGGACATTTAATTTTAAGAACATGTTTCAAAAAAGTAAATGTTAATGATGAACTACACAGCCAGCGCAGGCCAGACGGGGGACAAACCGAGCGGGGATAGAGCATGCAGCTTGTTCAAACACATTTATGCAGGATTATTTTAAATAAACTGAACAAAAATGCAACTTCTCATTGTCTGGAAATTATGCATTAGCGTTGACATTTTAATGATCGCCTTTTGTGTTCAATGAGGAAAGAAAAAAAATCCTGTGCGTTTGGAGCGACATATGAGGGTGGATAAAAAATGCTAAGCAACTGCAACTTGGTTAGACCAAAATGTAGAGACATACGCTTTTTTTTTTTTTTTTTACCTTGGAACTTAATAATCAAAAATAATAATAATTATTTGGGAAGTCACATTTAAATCCACTTGGCTCAAAAAACACTTCTGGCTGCACCCACAAGATTAAACCAGATTGAAGTGCTATAAACTGCGACAGAGCACCAGGGTGAAATGGCAGGGCTGCGAGTGATAGTGAGCTCCGTTTGACTGGCAGAATCTGGGGTTATGAGTCTGACGATACACAGGGAACGCAGCTGGAGGGAACCAAGAGAGAGAGAGACACGATAGGATCATCGAAAACGAGCGCACGAGGGCATGGGAAAGAGAGATAAGGCGAGAGAGCAGCAAAAAAAGAGAAGATGAGCTCTCATCTCGCTGTGCTTCAGCTGCTGGCGTATAGGATGCACCCCAGTCAGTGTAATAGTCACTGAAGGGTTACTATTTCAGCAGTAGCCCCACACTGGCTGCGTTCACTGTGCCAATACAGCAAATTAAATAACACTTTACTAAGAGGGGGCTAGAGAGGGACACGGAGCTGGATTGCAAGGAGGAAAAAAAATAAGTGCTGATGGGACGGTGATGAAGTCTGGATTTAGGATAATTACTCTGCTGAGTTCTTCCTCCCTCACTCTCTTGCGCTCCTTTTTTCTCCTCCACTCTCATTATTTGGAGAAGCTTGCCGGATGACAGTATCTGAGCTGCCTGTCGCTTATTAAAAAATGAAAATTGCTTCAGATGAGTTTATTAAACTCATCTCTCCCTCTCTCTTTTTCATCTGCCTCCCTCACACTCTCATTTCTTTCACAGATATATAGCAGCATGTTGAGATGAAAGAAGACTCCTCTTTTTTTGGAAAGTGCTATGAAAGATGCACGAATCGTACGATACGAGTGGGGAACAAAATTGTTGCAAAACAATTGAGTTCTTCACGAGGAATTTGTCTCGAGGAACAAAATCAATTTGCATCAATACTTTAAAATATTTCATCTGTTCTAAATCGAATTGCTGACATAATACAATAAACTTGAAGGCTTACGTTGTAATTAATGAAAGTTGCATTAAGAGCAGCCCCAGCCATTAGTTCAGAGAGAGGAGTTGACTTTAATGAGGGTCTTTTATCATACTGGAAGACAGAAAGTACATTGAAGAAGTACAAATAGTGCACTTTCATTATAGGTTAAGTGTTATAACCATTGACATACTCCGTTTCTTCCTTTGATTGCCTTAATTCAATTTTTTATTCAACTCTATAAACAATATTCACATATGATATCTTTTATAATTTCAATGCTAATGCAGTGCAAATCATATAACTGCAGAAAATTGTTCCTGGAAGGAGTAATAATAAGAGTAAGCCATAAATAGATTTGAAAGACACAGAATTTGAGACATAAATGGTCATGCACAGCTATGATATTATTTATGCAATCAACTGGGGGGGGAAATATTATATTTGAAGCAATAATTTTTCTGTTTCATCTAAAAATGTCACACATTCATTCTTCTGTCGAATTTATTTTGAAGAATGTTGGGGTTCAAATAGAGATAGAGCCCACTCACTTCCACTGAACAGACAAAACAAATAAGAAAATAAAAATAAGAAAAGCAGAAAAAATAAATGCTATCTTTGTGTAATTTTTGGGTGAACTACCACTTGTAAGCCCACATTGTTATTAATATTAATACAAATCCAATAGCAATATGACTTCCAACGGGAAGCTAATAGCAATCATTGAATTTCATGGAGCACTGGTTTGGTGATATGAATAAATCAGGTGGTGTCAGGCAGCTGTTGTTGATGTTGTTTGTAGGGGCTGCATCAGGTAAAAGCGAGACAGTGATGTGACGGAAAAGCAGATTGTGTGGCGTTTCCACAGCAACTATGCCATCCTCTCATAATTTGCTCTTTGGCGGTGAACCTGGAGGTAAAAAAACAGGTCTAATAGAGCACAGCAAACACACATACAGTAACAGACATTTGCATGAACACTAATGTTTGGAGTTCGGCTTCTGTGTGAGATCTCAATAACATCATGTCATAACTGTGATTATTCGAGCAAGAATCGTTCATGCAACAGTTCATGTTACATTTTTAAAAAAGTGCAAATAATAGCACCAGTCAATATGGTTGGGGGTGTTTAATATTTAGTGATATGAAATACCAAATTAGTCAGTCTGCTGGTTTTTAATTAATTTATTTTAGCAAGGTAAACACTGCTTCCATTAAAAACACTAATGTAGTCAGTGTTGGTTTGTTATCAGTGCAAGCTACAGACGTACAGCTCATTGCACTAGTTTGTACCCTGTGTCCCAGAACACAGAAAAAACAAACACTGATACATTGACGTCAAAGCTAGGACTACCAATTACTTGTCCTCTCACTGCGGGAGGGATAGATGGAAGACTTTGAGGAGAAAAATACTTAAATTATTTAGATTTTTGAAATGTACATACTGATAAAGTGCACAACTACTGAGTACAGTTTGTTTAGAAAGCATAAATGATCAAGGGTGGTTATGAATTTTAAACAAGTATAAATGTCTGCTATCTCGTAAGGAAGACAAATCAGTGTTAAAACACAAAAGGTAATGAATAATGTTTGGAAGACTTCATTTAAAGTATAAGGGTGTGTGTGTGAGAGAGGGATTTGTGGTCTAGGTAAACCCTACGTTGGATAGTAAAAGGATAGTAAAACATAAGATTTTTGATCTTGTGGGGACAATTTTTGGTCCCCATGAGGAAAACAGCTTTTAAATCATACTAAATTATGTGCCTTTTGTTTGTTTGTTTGAAAAGTAAAAATGCAGAAAGTTTTCTGTGAGGGTTAGTTTTAGGGGATAGAGTATACAGTCTGTACAGTATTAAAGTCTATGGAAAGTCTCAATAAAACATGAAAACCCAACAAGCGTGTGTTTGTGTTTGTGTGATGGATGACAGACCTCGTGGGAAGTATGCAGGCAACATTGTTTCATAGAGCTCTTTGTCAGACTTCAGAAACACACAGAAGATGACCCGGTCCAGCTGACAGCAGATTAAAACAGAAAAAGAGACAAAAAATAAAAAATAAATGACCATAGAGAATCTCACATTCAAGCTCTGATTTTGCTACTGCACAGCAGAAACCAACAATACTTCATAGACACAACTGAGAAGAATGTACCTGTAATAATATATCACAAACTTCATTCAAATGAAACAAATGTGCCCCTTCATCCTTGCTATACTCTCTAAAGCTATAGCAGAAATTTGCTTAAATTCTTGTGAATATAGTCAAATGAAATAAAAGCAATTACGAAAGTAAATAACATTTAAAAAACTGCACATCTTCTAAAACTCCATTATAAGTTCATTTCTGTCAAAGTGTTTGTTTGTTTTTTAAACTGAGATTATTTTCTGTGGCATGAATTGAACTTCAAATATTCCATTTAACTGAAGAAAAAGGTTAATTTATCCAATTCACTGATTTCTGACTTGTAGCCTTCTCAGTCTTGTGGGAAGAGAGGGTCTTCTGAAAAAGACCTCTTGGGTGCAATCGCTTAGCATATTCTAATTTCTTGTCTTTCTAGTCGGAGAGGTGCAGTGCCAGTGATCTAACTGTCCTTGACAGAACACCAGCACCAGTCCCAAATGCTTAATGGCAAGCAACAACATAAAGAATACATCGAGATCCGTGCCAGCATCCTAGAACCCTCATCTCCATGACAACAGTGGTGAGGGCAGGTGGGCTGTTCCTGCTTCTAATCATGTTCCTGTAACACATCATTGCATCCAGCCAGCACTCCTACTCTGCCACTGAAATCTCTCTCTCACTCTCATTTTTCTCTCTTTGGTCTCTATAGATTGTCTTTTTTCATTCCCTTTTGCCTCTCTGGCTCACTCATCCTGTGTCGCTTTGTCTGTCTGATTCAGATTCAAAATGAAGCTTTACATTGCCAAAGCATTTGTAATGTAATGCACTACAGAAATGAGTATGTCAAATTTTCGGTTTGGTTTCTTGGTTAAAAGCATATGGCAAACTATTTACCATACACTATCAATAAGAAAATAATACTATAATATTTTGCTTGTTTATATTAACATACTGTATTAACATTAACATAGAGAATGTTACACTAAATGATATCAAAGTCAATTTTATACATTTTTTTTTTTAAGTTTCAGATGCATAAAATGCATATTTTGTGCAGTTTGTTATTATTAATAGTTGCCTTCTTTCCAAACCAAATCAACAAATCCTCAGTAAACACTGCAGGTGCCATGAAGATTACATGGAGGTGCCAATTTAATTTAACTAAGTGTTTACTAAAAAATGTCTCACATATCTTCATCATCATTTCAAGTTCATTTTGATCCAGACATGAGTGGTTTTGTCCAAGTGGGTGAGTTGTTCTGTAATTAATTAGTCAGTCCATTTCCACTAGCCTGACTCATTCAGGTCGATTTACAGACTGGCTGCGATCATGATAGGTGGGCGTTATCTAATTGACAGGGTAATCAGCCAATCACATCGACATGAAGGTACCGCCTTCTTTTATGTGACCTTTTGCTGTTAGTTTTTCATTACCTCTCACATTCACTCTTAAAAAACATGGTCTTAGATGTACTTAGACATATTTCGTAAGATTTTTTTAAGTGCTGTTGATTATTTTCTCATCCAAATATCTCATCTCAAAGAAAATGCAATACACAATATATAAAATTTTAAAAATAATAAAAGTAGAATAAATAGAATAAATTAAATATATAATAAAATATATAATCATAAAAAGTTAATAAAAAAAAAATACTTTCGCTCTTCCATTCTGTACTATTTTTCTGGATGCATATGGAAAGTGGTAGGTTTAGCAAGCAGTAAAGTGCTGGTTAATTAGTGTGCCGTAATTAGGGTGTCTGTCATTTTGTATGTCTGTAGCGTAAAAGAAGGCAAGAGCAACTAAGCACGCAGCGCAGAGTGAGATGAAAGCTCAGGACAGGAAAGACAGATCAGTGAGAGATGACAGAAGGGAAAAAAGACACAGATGTGACCAGGGAAGAGAGAGAGAGAGAGAGAGAGAGAGAGAGAGAGAGACTGCAGTATGGGATGTGCAGAAGTTTTGTCAAAGACATCCTCATGGCTCATTTCCTGTTAAATTTACTCTGGACTCACATTAAGTCACAGGGGCCAGAGATTGTGCCAATATGTTTGTGGATTTGTTGTATTTGTGCTGTTCTGCAAAGCCTATTCAAGCTCCGTTAGGAACCAATTAAAACTGTGAGGTTATATTTGTGTGTGTGTGCATGCTGACTCAGAAAAGTAACTCCCTACACAGCCACCATCTGTTTGTCACGGCGTGTTCCTCGTCGAACAATAACAACAATGGCAAGAAAAGAACACCAATAGGGAAATGACACACACACCTTCTCGTGGTTTTGCTCCAGGTATTCTCTCACTGTTCTCAGGGCAACTTCGACTGCTTGATCAGGTGGATATCCTGCACCACACACATCGTCCAACCCATGAACACAATACACATCAGATTTATACTAGGACTTTCAATCGATTAACGTTTAAATTACGTTTATTAAAAAGGGCTTAAATTACAATGCGCTGATTGACTAAACAAAACAATCACAATTATTGCACCCAAATAAAGATATTTCAAAGACATTATTGTGGCAGATGAAAGCACTGAATAAACATTTACAAAAGGTTAAAATATTGTCTTTTTATATATATTTTAAATGTTCTTTAAATCTATGCACATGCAGATTTTGGTCATCGCAGCATTCTCATGCTATACAAATTTTGTTAGTGTTTTTTTTTTAAATAATTAATCTAAAAATAAACCATTGATGCATTAAGCTGACAGCCCCAACACAAAGTAAATGAAAACAACCTTGATATTATTATAGATATACACATTACTTTGATTGTAATAATGTAATTTGTATGATTAACCAAGAGGCGTCAGACATCAACATGTTCACACCTTGTCAGCACTCACAATTCTGCCGATGCATGACACCATATTTTCTGCTTAAAGACTCGAAAATGAATCACTGATGGTGGTTGTTTTCGAACTGAAGCTGTTTGACGGGTTCATTTTTGAGTTTAATCTTGACACGTATAGCTAAAAAGGAGGATTATAATCACAGTGACATGCTCTCGCACCTAATCTCTCCTAATCTGACCGTCTAATCCCACCCTTAATCTGAAAATCCCTCATACTACTGCAAGTGATATCCACTCCCAGACTTCCTAAAATGAGGTTCCTACTACATAAACAACCACAAATAAGAACTCATGCATGAGCACGGAGGTCACGGCATAGCCGAGGTTCATAACCGTACCATTGATTAGGTTAGATAGAACAGTGTTTCCCAACCTTTTTTTAGTCGCGGCACCCTTTGGAAATTTTAACAAACTTGTGGCACCCTACAAAATTAATTTTGTCACAATATTTGAATTTCTAACTTCGATATGATCATTTGAAAAGTATAGATATTCGGTACAACAGGGAAGAACTGCAGAATATAATGTCATACATATATTTTTAATATTATAAAAAAAAATGTGTCTATCAATGGTGGCAATCAGTAGGCTAATTTCTATTGAAGAGACCAATTTATATGACAGATTTTAAT